AAAACAACAACAACAGTAATTGGAATGTGAAATGTGAGAAACATGAATATAGGAAAATTAGACATTGTTAAGAAAGAAATGGAATGCATAAATATTGACACACTAGGTATTAGTGAAATGAGAGGAACTGGCATGAGACATTTTAAATCAGACAATCATATGATCATATGCTGGATATGAAAAGGTAAGGAAAAATAAGGTTAGTTGCTTTCATACTTAAAAAAGTCATTTCTAGATTTATCTTGAAATAGTATTGTGAGTGACAGGATAATATCCATACTCATACAAAGAAGTCTGGTCAATATATAATTCAAATATATGCACCAAGGACTAGAGCAAAAAAGGAGGAAATAGATTTCTACCAATTTTTGCAGTCAGAAATAGATCAAATATGCAATCAAGAAGCATTAATAATAATGAGTGACTGGAATGCAAAAGTTGGAACAAAAAAGAAGGAACAGGGAAGCCTGAAAACATGGACTTTGTGACGGAAACGAGGCTGGAGATAGAATGATAGAATTGTGTACAATCAATGATTTATTCATTGCAAATACTTTTTATAAGAAACATAAACACAGATTATACACATGGATTTCACCTGATGATATGCATACGTGTCAGATAAATTACATCTGTGGAAAGAATTGCTGGAGCAGCTCAATATCAGCTGTGAAAACTAGGCCAGGTGCTGACTGTGAAACTTTTAATTGCATACTTTATTTACATGTTACAACACCTCCATGAAATATAGAATGATTAATAGTCTATTTAAATAGTCATAACCAAAGTTAAAAACAAAAAAATATATGTTGGGACAGCATTGCCCCCTCTTAGAGATATTGTTGTTGTTGTTATTATGTACTACTGAGTCTCCTGCGACTCATAGCGACCCTATGTACAATAGCCCTAAACCCTAATCTATTCTGTGCCAGTCTTATTGTCTCGGACACATCTACCCCAGTCACTGAATCAATCCATCTAATTAAGGGTCTTCCTCTGTTGCACTGTCCCTCCACCCTCCTAAGTATGACATCCCTCCAAGGACTGGTCCTCTCCAAGGACTGGTCCCACCTTGTAGCATGTCCAAAGTATGTCAGATGAAACTTCAGAATTCTTGCCCCCAAGAAGCATCCTGGTTTGATCCTCTCTAGGTTAAACTTGTTTGTTCTCTTAGCAGTCCATTGTATACTCAATACTCTTCTCCAGCACCACAGCTCAAAGACATCAATTCTCCTTCTAATCAACTGGTCATTGTCCAGGTCTCTGATGCATAGCAAGTAATTAAAAGACTATGGACTGGATCAGGCACACCTTAGTCTCCAGATAAAGAAGGAAAAAAAATAACTTAATAAGGGATATAAGCTAATACCTCTGTATGGTTTTAATTTCCACACCCCCCATTACTTTGTAGTTGGACAACATGACTCAGAAAGAGTGTAGTTTGGATAAAATGTTGGCTATATTAATCTCTTAAAAATTATTATAACCATTTTGTAAGTTCTGCTCAGTGAGAGTTTTAAATTCAGATACTAGTCATTCAATGAGAAGAATAAATGTCTACAGCAATGTCAATCTGATGTTGTTTGTTGTGAGTTTATTGGTGAACTAATACGTTACAGTTTGTGGACTTATTGGTCCAGTTATGAGGCTCGATAATCTGCAATAGGAACTTTAAGTCTTCCTCACTTTGAGCAAATAAGATTGTGTCATCTGCATAAATTATT